TTGAGTAGCCAGACATTCTGTGGGGTCTCTTTCCTTTTGATGCTGAACCCCCTTCTTTTTTCTGTCATTATGCTCCATGGATGAAAATCCTTCTGTGGTATATACACAACTCACACAAAACAAAAAGCATTTCTGGCTCATGGCAATTCATGTGTCAGAAGAGAACTTAACTCCCTGACTTTTCCAAGGTTGACTTATTGTAAGTAGATTGAACAGCCTTTCTCAGGGTCCCTCTGGATATGTGTGAACCTCCAAGCATTTCATTAGCAGCAGAATGTGTAACCATTTGTACCTTCCAGGAAGTTCTGTTGGTGTGTGAGTACTTCTGAAATCCATGTTAAATAGGCATTTGAATTTAAAATCTCCTTTCCACATGATTCCTGCTGTTGGTGATGATTATACAAACACATTTGCAGAGTGATTTTCTGTCCCCTCACAGGAAGGAAAATCAGTGTCATCACACAATTACAATAAATTTCAAATTCTGATGATATATACTTGCTTTAACAGCCCTCTGAGGAGGGCCTGGGCACTAAAATTTGGAAATGAGTAGTGTTTCCATGACATCGAAGCACTTGAATTCAAGCGCACATGTCCTGTAATTCACTTATGTGTTTTCACGCAGCCTTGGTACTGGGCCAGCCTCACAGGAGGACACCATCCTGGGAGCTTCCAAATTGATGCAGCCTCAGCTTAGGGACAGATACGGGGGCTGGCCTGACTCTGACACTTGTGGGGAAGTGAATCAATTCTGGTGTTATGTCCTCTGTAACTAGAAGGTTGCCAGCCACACTTGACATTCCCATTGAGGTCCGCGTCATTTGTAAAATGAAATAGGGGTCTTTGAAACACTTTGGACAAAAACAGCCTCAGTAACTCTTTTGAATGAAGTCTGAAGTTATGATATTTGGACTCTGCTCTATTTGTTTCGAAGAAAAGAAGTAGAAATAGCATTAACCATGAAAACAGAATAAAGATAGAACAACCCATTGCATTGAAGTCAATCCTGTTTGTAGTAACCTTACAAGTCAGAGTAAGAAAGTCTCCTAGGGCTGTTGAGGCTGTAGATTAAACAATGCAACTTCTTTTACTCAGAGTGTTTCATCAACTCTTATTGCTCCATCTCTCTCCCTGACCCCTCACCACCTGCTTCCCAATGGCTTCATTCAGCTCCAGCTGCCTCCATATAATTCCAGGTGACCCCGACTTTCCAGGTTTATTCTGGGGTAGCACACAGTCTGAATAACCAACTCAGCCTTTAGCAAGGATGGGAGGTCATTGCCTCCCCTTTCCTATGCTCCTCAACATCCAGTTTTGAGAACTTCAGCACCAGCCACCCACCTGCAGAATTTAAATACCCAGCATGAAGGGAGACCCACTGAATGCCCAGCAGTCCTTCGAAGCAATGTCACACATCCACAGTCATGTAAACCTTAAAGTACCTCGTGAGCTGGGAGTTTATTATCCCCACTTTACAGACACGTAAACGGAGACTTGGGAGCTCTGGTGGTTTAGTGGAAGAGTTGTACTGCCAGCACAAAATCCTGTGGTTTGAATCTACCAGCTGCTGTATAAGAAAGAGATAGACTATCTCCTCCTGTGTGATTTACTGCTTCTGACAACCTGCTGAAGGGTCAGCTATGGGCCCACTCTGACTTGATGGTACATAACACCAACAGAGGCTCAGAGGATTAGAGTGACTTGCATACAAGGTTTTCTTTATACCCTTATACTATTGTTGGTCTTTCAACCTGTGGATATTAACATTACAACACCTTCCAATCTCTGTGGGTATTTGCCTGGCACACTGAAAGATTTTTTAAATAGAGGAAGCCTATCCATGATAGGATAGCTTGAATTTAGAGGCTTTTAAAAATGATTTGGTGGTTTGGTATATTCCCTTTGTATGATTGGATTGCCGTCTGTTACTGGTATTATACTTATTTACAGAAACAGAAAGTATAGGACCAGAGTTTATACTCCTCCATCTTGGATTTATCTAGGAAACATGCAATTCTTGAGACATTTAATTTATTAATACTATGTTTTTTAAAATTCTTTTATTTCCTGTCTGACCAAAATGGCATTCTGGACAGATGAGCTTACTGGGGTCCTTTAATTTTCTCTTTCTGCTACAGGGATCTATGTTAGGTCATTCAAAAAATGGGCCTTGAATTTCTTGAAGCTTTTTGCTTCATTCAAGGGAAGGAGGAAACATTTCTTACCGGCTTCAGATAGAAGCTGACATAACTATTATTTCTGTATTGGCATCAGTAGAGACCCTTTTGTATTGTTAGTTCTACCGATGGTCTGTTGGCTGGCATACTTGGCTCCCAGAACCAGCGACAGAGGGCACATCCCTTCTTCAGCATCCCTGGGAGGGAATTACAGCATCGCTTGAATAAATTGGGAAGTTGCTAGTTCAAAGGCAGTACCTTTCTAGAAGTTTGAATCCATCATGGGCTCTAAGGGAGAAAGATGGGCATTCTCGTCCTGTGAGATTTACGGTTGTGGAAACTCAACGCAGGGTCAGCTTTGAGATGGTTTGGATTCACAAGATATACACATAACTTTTTCAAGCTCTGGTAATAATATTCTTATTAAAAAGGAAATTATGTTAAAATATAACGTGTAGAAGCTTCACTGTGACCTGTCGTAACCACTGACAACTTAGTAATGCAGCCAAACTTCTTGCTACAAGGAAGCATGGAGTGGCTTGAAAATGGGCATTTATGAGTTCAGAGTAATGGATTTCATTAATTTCTTCACTGTTTATCTTTCCACAAAAGGCGGGTGTCATGAAAAGAATGTTTCACTTTAACATTTGACAGTCATTAAAAAACCTAGCTCATTACCACAAAATATTCCATTCTCTATCTAACCAGTGCTCTTATGTAATTTGCTTCTGTAAGAAATACGGGTCCTTTAAAACAAGCAAATCGTTTCCTCTAAAAGCAGAAATATTTATAAGGACAAGCTTTTGTTCCTGACTTGGGCCGACACTGACCAGGCTTGTTTCTCTCAGAAAAGCAGCCTTCCTTGTGGCTGACCATCCCTGGTAGACCACCTGTGCTCATTGGTCCCGGTCTGTTGTCCAGCGCTGTTCTTTGAACAAGCTAAATTTTCTTGGATGCTTCTTGACATGGAAGGAAATTTTCTTCATCCCATCCAGATTTCAGACCGTTGATCTCTGCGTATTTTTTTCTGTTCTCACCGGCCATTCCAGAACCTCATTTCAAGTCGACTTGGTTTTTGGAGAGGCATATTAAGAAATTGGTGTATGGTAAATATCTTTGTTATTTACCTTCAAATCAGAACCTACCCATAGCGGACCCTCTGGCAAGTATTCAAAGGCAGTTAATCGCTGGGGAGGAGATTGCCCATCTCTCTCCAGCGGAGCAGCTGGTGGATTCAAAACGCACGCCTCTGAGATGGCAATGCAGCTTCTTACCACTAGACCATCAGAGTAGAAAACAACTTTTGGATGAAAGTTAACTCTAACTCATCAAATTTGAACTTAGATTTATATATCTATCTATATCTACCTATAAATAAATCTTTATAACCTCAACCTCAAACTTATTAGAAAAATGTTTCTAGTTGAATCTCCACTGAGTTTTCCAAGCTGTAAAAGCAGGGGAGGAGATTGGACATCTTTGTTCCTCAGGGTTGCTATTGAATCAGAGCTGGCAGAGAGGTGTGGCTTTTGAGTTTAACAGCACAATTCCCTGTGGGCTAGATCACTAGAACTCGTATTCTGTGTGTGTGTAATTTTTTTTAAAGCAAGAGTGGCATCCACTTCCTAAAGAACATGGCTCTGGAAACTCTATACACTTTGATAAATGTCGATTGTAGAGGGGCTTCAGGCCTTTTGTTTATAGAGTCGCTATGAGTTGTGCTCAACTAGAAGGCAATTAACAATAACAACAACAAATATATATATATCTAATTCCAGACTCTTTTAGATAATAATAGCACCTACTTATTGGAAAGGAGTAATAAGGAGTTGGGCTGCCAACCCAAAGGTACGTGGTTTGAATCCATCAGCTACTCCACAGGAGAAAAATGATCAGTCTCTCCCCATGCAGTTTCCTGCCTCTGAAAACACACTGGAGGGTCAGCAATGTGTTGGTTCCAACATACCACCATCAACATGAATGACTCTGCACACCCATGTTTATCACGGTTTTGTTCACAATAGCAAGGAGTTGGAAACAACATAAATGCCATCAACAAATGAATGGATGGAGAAGCTGTGGTATATTCATTCACACAATAGAATACTATGCTGCATTGAAAAACAAGGGACTCATGCAATATTATTCAGAATAGGTGACCCTGGAGGACATTATGCTAAGGGAAGTATCTCAGTCATAAAAGGACAAATACTGCATGGTGCCACTGTTGTAAAACAGGACTGACCTTTGAGTTGAGGGAGACTGAGAAAGATGTGTTCAATAATGTATACTGCATTGAAACAGATAAGGGAGAAAACTGTTTAGAAGGGGTATGTGATTAGGTATTTTTGTCATGACAGCAGTCCAGAGCGAAGGCTGCATAGTGGAGTGGATGTGGGGAGGAAGGTTTGTAAAACTGAAAGAATTTTTCTTTTACTTTTCCAAGAGGGTAGTGTACTAGGGGGGAGAGTTGGGAGGGGAGAAAAGTGCAACAATGAATGAATGGAAATCCAAAGTTTCTGTAAATTTCCATTGAAATTAATAGTAAATTAAAAAAAAAAAACAACCCATGAATGACTCTGTATACACCAAGCATGTGTCTATTAAAGTACTTTATATACATTACCATTCTTTTCCAGCATGTGAAGTGGTTTACTTCTCTTCATTCCCAGACAGAGACCCTGAAGCAGAAGACCTGAGACGGTCCATAACGGTTTCCAAGTGTTCCCTAGGCAACTGGCAGACCCTAGTGTCAACCGAGGCCTGCTGCCTGCTTTATAATCGCCAGGCAGGAGACTAAGCATGGACTCCTTGTGTCTGCAGGTCATCACCGAGCAGTCTTCTCACGTCCTCCTTCAGGCAGCACCAAGAGTCTTTGGCGGCGGAGAGAGAGCGAAGGCGGCAGGAGCGAGAAGAAAGGCTGCAGCGGATAGAAAGGGAAGAAAGGAACAAGTTCAGGTAGGATGGACCTGAAGGTTCGTTTGCTGGTTTGAGTAATGAATTGAGAATTAAAAACAACTGTGTATGATTGATGCTGGTTTTAAAGAGTCAGGAAGCTATGTCTCGCTTTAAACCTGATCTGCATCTTTCCAGAAAGGGCAAGCCACACCTGTAATAATCTTGATCTGGTGGCTGTGACCTTTCTCCCTCTACCCATAAGGCCGGAAACTTGGACAGCCAGCCAAACACAATTAGTGACTTGTGTATTCTTTGCTCCATCAGGATCTCAAATGAGCTTACCCAGGCCTTCCTGAGGACAGAGGGCTTAATTGTCCTAACTTAATTTGCCATTTCCCACTAAAGCTTCTCATGTTTTATTCATGTTCCATCAGATGCATGAAAGAAAAGGCCTTTCTCATTTCTCTGGTTCACTTCCTGTTCACTGTAGCAGTCTTCATTTTTATTTTTAATAATATCTCGTCTTAAGAGGATGTGTGGGGGGAGGTCTTCGTGTTGCTCACTGCCAGTCCATTACCCTGAGCCCCTTGGTTTCTGTCCACCTCTAGGAATGTGCTCCAGATGATGGCCCTTTCTAGGTTCCATACATCAGGCCAACTTCCACTTGCTGAGTGTTCTCTGTCTTCTTAGGCCAGTTCACCTGTTCCTCGAAGACCAAGTCAGCCTCCTTCCTCTTCAGTCCCCTTGCTTCCCACTGTGCTATGCTTTATGGAGCTCAAAACACTCACTAAGTCTCTTTAATCCATCTCATTCCTTTCTTTCCTGCATCCTGCTTCCTTCTCCACATCTTTGCTTGGCCTTTCCCTCTTTTCACCGTCCCCTCCTCCTTCATCTTCCAGTGGTCCCTCCTCTGGCTTCTACAGCTTTCTTCTGTTCATTTCTCTCCCCTCTTTATATCCTGTTGCTGAAAATACCAAACCCAAAGCTGTCAGAGTCAATTCTGACACCTAGCAGTGGTCAGTTCAATTTGTTTGCCATACAGTATTTCCATTGATCATGCCTGTTTAAATCTACAGCGAGTGGAAAGTATTGTCAATGCAGATTTAGAGGTCCGGTAATTTCTACCAGCTAAGAAGTGTATATATTACTATAGAAATGGTCAAAATATGAACAGAGTTATAAAGTTGCTTAAACAGTAAATAATTTCTACAAGAAAACTAATACACCAACGATGTGGGTGAAAATTAGCTTTATAAGACCGAGATCATTGGCTACATAAAGTAAACTAACATCATTCCCTTTGAGCTGTGATATTTTATGAGTTGGTTTTAGAAGGTGTCACTTTTTGTTCTGGGTCATCTGGTCAGAACCAGACTCATAGCTGACCCTCCAGTGGGTTTTCAGAGGCTACAAAATCAGAGAGAAGAATCCACCTTCAGAGCAGCTGGTGGATTCCAACTCTCTGCCTTTGGGTTGGCAGCACAGCTCTTTACCCACTAGGCCACCAGAGCTCATGAAGACCAATTTGCAAAACACAGGAGCGGATTAAAGCCTGCTTGATTTTGTGGTTTTCTGAAAGATTTGCTTATTTTACCACCATTACGGCATTAGAGAATCTGATACGTGGAAAATTACACATCTCAAGTTATTTTGTGGTGGTGGTGTTTGTTTTGCTTTGCTTTAAAATCTTAAAACAGGATCCCAGTTCTGAGAAGGTGGGGTCCTTGGGACTCACCATCCTCTCCTTCCATAGAGAGATTCCAGCCTGTTTCCATGGAGATTATTGCCCTGGAAACCTTTCTGAACAGTTTTACTGTCCTATAAGGAGTTTTGTTGTCAGCCTAAAGGCATGTGGTTCGAACCCACCAGTTGCTCCACAACCTCCTTCCATGCAGTCTAGTGCTTCTGAAAACACAATGGAGGGTCAGCTATGAGTCATTTCTGACCCAACAGGACCCAACAACTTAAGACCACTAATGGTCAGGTTTCTACTCAATGTCAACAAGTAGGTCGCATTTGTTCTTTGCAGCCCTCGCATTTTGCCTGAAGGACCCTCATAATTTAGTGACCTCTCTCAGTAACATCAGCTAGATTCTAGCCTCCATGTGAACAACTGCCTGCCTGTCCAAACTCAGTAATTCATAGCACAGTTCTGAAGATCAGGTACATACACGGTCAGTTACAGTTTTTAAATAATTGAAAGTAATGGGAAATGAGTCAGTCAGTTACTGCATAAGGAAACTCAGAGTGTTAATATACTAGAGAGAAGACTTGTCATAAACCATTACCTGCAAGTGGTAACTCATGGTTGCTGTGAAGCTGAACACTGGTGAGTCAAATGCAAGAATGGTTGGTTACCCATGGTGGACAGTGTTTGGTGGCACTCCCCGAGTGAAACAAGCTTGGAAGCAGGAGTGACATCCACTTTAATAAATAGCTTGCCTCCGAAAACCCTATGAACCTGGAGAGAGTACGAAAGTTATACAGGTGTCCAGGACTTTCATTCATAGAGTCGCTTATGACTCGATGGCACTTAAGAACAACAACATGTGCAAGTACATCATCATGTAATAACCACGAATCAGGGGACAGGGGGCAAGTTGGGAATCAAAATAAAACCTGCCCTTGTGACACATCTGGTGAAACCTGCCGTCATGATAGGACTTAACGATGTGCTAGGCGTGTTTTTTTTTCTATAATTATATTTTATTAATTTTCATAAACATTTACAGAGATTTTGGGTTTCCATTCATTCATTGTTGCACTATTCTCTCTACCCTCCTCCCCGGTTTGTTCTTGTCCAAATGCCACAGTGCTTGTCAAAGCCAGTTCTGATTAATCTTCTTTGTCAGTGTGTCCTTTGCCATTCCCTATCACTCCTCCCTGAGAGAGACTTCACCCTGAGTCATAAGGAAAAGGGGATGGCGTATTCTCTTAGCTACTTCCTGCTAGACGTGTTTTTAAGCATTTTTTCATATGGTATTTTTACTACCTCCTTGAGGTAGGTCCTGATATTACCCCTCTTTTATAAACGAGAAAACTGAGGCATGGAAAGTGTAAGTAACTTGTTCGAAGTGACACAGTCTTGGAATTTCTCAAATGACCAGCCTTTTACCAGCCGTTCCCTGGGTTTAAATTTGTGATTCACCTCTGGTCAGTTTTTCATACTGTGGTGGTTTATGTGTTGATGTAAAACTGAAAGAAGCTTCACCATCAGTGTTTCAAATGCCATAGGGTATGGTAGTCAGGATTCAGAGATGCTTCCAGCCTTTAGCTTCCTGGGTCACGTGAAACTGGTTCTCAAATGGAAAGTGATGGAGATATCATGTTTATAAACTAGAATTTCTCTGATTCTTTTTGTTTCTTTTCCCCCTCTCCTAACTTGCTTTTCTCTAATTTACTACCTCTTTATATGCAAGCATCAGTGCAGCAAAGGACAGAAAAGTTAAACTACATTATGATAGAAAACTGTGATGTGAGTTATCCAGCAGAATAAAATCTTAACTCTCAGATTCAACATATAAGCCAGGCAGCACTAACAGAAAAGTAAAACGTTAAAATTGGACAAAGTTGTGAATCTTCTGGGTGTGAACAGAAGTGAATGCACAAAGCAAGAACTCCAGTTGCACACAAACTAAGAACTGGAAGGGTGCATTTTTCATTTATTTGTTATTTTAAAATACATGCTTTAACCTTGATTTTTAAAATTCGCTTTCACCCGCTTCCCATTCCTGGAGCAATAGCAGACTTTGATTCTTTACTGTTTATCATTTCTTGGCCATTTGCTGAGCATCTAATTATATTATTTTCCTTTCCTCTTTTGTTTCCTCTGCATATTTCCATTAGCCGGGAGTATTTAGACAAAAGGGAAGAGCAAAGACAAGCAAGAGAAGAAAGGTTTGTATACCATTCTCTGCCTCTCTCTTACCCAAGCATGCAGGGACTTTTACATTCTTAACCCTGCATCCAGAGGAGACTATGCTGATTGAAACCCATGACCTTGGTAATTGGCATTTTGCAGAGTATATGCAAGTTATTTGAATTTTCCAGGGAAATAAGAGTTTATCACTAAATGACTTTGTGCTGTGACGTGTGAGTTTGAGCCTCCAGAGCTATTCTTCATGTGAGCATGTTGCTGTTAACTGCTGTGTAGTCAGCCCCCAACGTGTGGTGACCCCGTGCACACCATTGTCGATCCATGGGGTGTTCATAAACTGACTTAATCACTTCGGGGGAGGGTGGGAGATCACCGGCCCTTTATCATGTGTTTTTAAAATACACCACCACTACCATTCCCAAGACTTGGTTAGACGTTCTAATGCTGCATGCGTCCAATGTTCTGCTTTCTTTCCAAAACCACTTGAGTGTACACCCTGCTCTGGACACCAGTGGGTGCCAAGCACGCCTGAGACTGCTCTTCACTTACCCTCCTGTCCCCTGCTCTGTACTCAATTCCCTGATGGACGAAACCATGCCTGCTCTTCCTTGGAATCCCCAGTACTCACTACAATGTTTAGGATATGATAAATGCTCAGGAAAAGAGTATGGAACAAATTCATCAATACTGACCAGTCATAGTCAAGGTCATTTCTGTTGAGTTAGAACCAACTCACAGCTGACCCTCCAGAGGATTTGCAGAAGGATGAAAATGGCACAGAAAGATGTTTGTATTCCTCCTGTGGAACAGCTGGTGGATTTGAAATGCCAGAGACATGGCCTTTGGTTTAGCAGCATGAGTCCCAGTGGACTATTCCCAGTGGCCACCGAGCTAATGACCGTTTTATTTAAAATATTCAAGCCATAAGCCAGACCATCAGTTTCAATAGAAGTATGTTTTGAATTCCAATAGGAAGTACTCTTAGTAAACTCGTTGCAGGATAAATGAAGATGGGCAAACAAAACCATTTGGAAATAAAATGGTAAAAAAAAACCCCCATTTTGCCAAGCACCATACAGCCTGAAGTTGCTTCCTCTACCACCAGATGGGGTAATTGCATGGAGAGATGAAAAGGATGACTTTAATATGGGAGCCTGGTGAGAATTTCTCAATCTCTGCCTGTGCCAATAAAAAGTGAAATTGCGCTAATTTTTTAGACAACATTAAGTAAATAAATAGGACATTCTGAGACAGGGAAGAGTAGAAATTGCCTGTGTTCAATTACTGTTTTAAGGCATAATGACCATACAAGTATGTATTGTGGTTTAGTTAATTTAATCTCCTATTGGAGGAAAGCAGATAGGAAAGAGATCCACATCGGGTGGAGAAATGTGAAGAGGGGGTGATCAGGTAAACGTGGCATAACTTAACCTTGCTTATTGATGCCTTTTCTTTTAGCCATAATTGCCAGAATCCTAGCCCAAGCCCAACTCTGGGTTCATTTTTGATGTTCTGGTTTTCAGAAGATTGCAGGCCATAAAGAACAGATGCCATTTGAAAAACATGGCTAATGGGAACAGAGTGCATGGGGAGAGTTGGGCCTAGACTACGATTTAGGACACTAAGCCTAAAAGTTCCAGTGAAACAAAAGATGATTCTGAGACTTACTTAAAAGGTCGGAAAACAGTTCAAGTTAGGGGGCACCAAGTTTGGGTAAAGGTGAATAGGATGGTGGCAAGAAGAGGTCACCAATAAGTAGGTTTAGTTGAAGCTAATTCTGCCTGCAGTCAAGCAGGGCTTTTACAGGGCCCATGGGGAGGCTGAGCCCGCGTATCCATCCCCTGACCCCAGCACCAGCCCTCCACCCATGCCTCCGTGCATGCTTCAGTTCATCCAGTGGTTTATTTGCCTATCTCTCCCACTGAACTGTGAGTACCACGAGTATGGGATTTATTCTTGTTTATTATCATATCTCTGGTGCCTAGTGCACTTCTTAGCACATGGTAAGGCTCTCAACAACTGTTCAACAAATAAGTGAAAGGTGAATGAATAAACAAATGAAATGGGCTGAAGTAGGATATGTGGGAATATTTTGCTGAAGCCCACAAAAGTAAAAAGTCTTTCCTTGGGAAATAGTATTTAAACAGAAAGTTTAGTGCATTGCATTTGGGAGGCTCTGTTGGGGTCTGTAAATTGCAGGCTGTGTGATAGTCATACCATTGACGCACGGACTCCCTAGTTCGAGACCGAAGCCCTTAAGTACTTGTAGCACATAGGGTGATACTCTGAGGTCCCCTTTCCTCCCTAAGTACTGTGGAGATTCACAGACTGAAGAGGGTAGTGAAGCTGTTAAACTCTCACCATCAGATGACAAGGATTTCCCATACCTGCTTGGCCACGCTCCACACTCCAGTTCATTTCAGGCAGACACTGATGAGGCTTTTTCAGAAGAGTCAGCCGGTTGTGCCTCCATGCCCCTGCCACTTTTTGTCTACAACATAAATATCTTTCCTCCTTGGGATGATTCTGGACAAACCCTTGACTGTCCTCATGTATCATCGTTTCTCAGTGACGGTGTCCATGAGAACAAATCATGTACAGGGACAGTGAGTCATTATCCTTGAGCTGTATCTGCCCAGACTCGGCAAGGGCAAACCCTGGAATCCTCCAGATAGTTGAGGTGAACCCTTTGGCTGCTCGCCTGCCCCTAATAGCCAGTATTGCTTGCTAACTGGGAAGGGGCCAGGTCCAGGGCTGGATCAGTGAAAATTAAGGTCACAAATGGGCCGCCCTCCTGGCCTGAGTCTTTTTGAGGGGGCTTTGCTCCCACCCTCCTGGACTTTCTGATTTTGTTGCAATACTGATTTCTTGTCTCCTTCTACTGTCACAAAAGGCTCGGGCCCTGTGTGGGAATTCCTGTGCTCACCACGTGCGCCCGAGTGTCAAGCATTTCTGGCCTCAGACTTGCTGCTCCTCCATTCACCATGTGCCTCCTGTTGAGGCCCTGACTTGTCCTGGTGGCCATTCCCCTTAGAATCACCTTCTCCTCCCCAAGGCTCTCATTTCAGTGGTCACATGGTTTTTTCCTTGTTGACCTGAATGAAGTTCAGAAACATATTCCTTTTGCTGCCTCTCCTACCTTTTGAGCAGTGACAGTAACAAAGAAAGCCTGCTGTTGTCACCGTTAGGTCCCAGCGAGTCAGCTGTAACTAACTCACAGTGACCTCTGTGCAGTGTCCGGCACCGTCCTCACAATCGCTGCTTAAGCCCATGATTGCAGCCGCTGTGTTGACAGTTCATCTAGCTGAGGGCCTTCATCTCCTTTTCTGATTCTCTGCTTTTCCAACTATAGTGTCCTTTTCCAGGACTGACCTCTCTGCTCCCATGACCCAAGTAAAGCCAAGGATTTCGGAATTTTCTTTCTGAATGTAGCTTTACATCGGAACTGTGAGGCAGCTGTTCTGCGTGGCCAAGCCTCCATGTTTGTGTGTTCAGAGCCACCACACATTTTCATCACTCCTCAAGATGCAGTCAGGTACATTTGTCCTGCTGGTGTCCAGGCCTGCAGGTTGGCCTCTGCAGGTCCTCCCTGCATGCCCAGCTTGCTCTCTGCCCACCGACAGAGACAAGGCACAGAGGGAGAGAACAAAAGGATGCTAATCTTCCCGCTCTCAAAAATCCCATTATCTGCTTGTTGGAACCAGACATGCACATGTGAAAAGATGACTAAATATGCCAGGCGGTAAATGTAAAATGCCATCTGAGCTGAATGGACTACATATTCAACATGAGTTCAGAGGCAAGGCCAAGATCACTTCCAGCTGTGGTGGTCAAGGCAGGCTGCGCTGGGGGAGATGCACAGGCAGACTTGGCCTGCAGGACAGACTGCCTTTGGAAGGCAGGGGGAAGGGGCGGGAATTACAGATGTGAGGAAACAGAGCCCACTCAAAAGTGGAAGAGAAAAATGCGTGCTCAACTGTCTTCAGTGCAGGCCCTGCCTTTCTTATCTGAGAGAAGGGGCACCAGTTCTACTGATGGAGGAGGGCTGGGAGCGGATGCCGAGTGAGGGGCTCCAGGAAGTTGTCTCAGAGTTCATTTGCGGGCAGAATAGCCAGAAACCTGCTCCAGCTGAATTCATAAATTTATTTCCGAGCAAATAATGGCGGGTAAAATTAGCAGACATCTGGAAGAGGCACATATTTCAAAGTTATTTTGGTCCGATCTATAAAGCGCACTGAGAGGAATATGATTGGTAGCTGGTCTTAATAAACAGTTAGTGGGTTCTGCCTGCCTGAAATGCAAAACAGATGTATCTTTGTTCTTTTTAAACTGACTTTGATGAATAAACTATACGTGACGTCAGGCCCAAGCTATTGGATGTCTGAGTCCGACTCAGAAATATTTGCGAATATAAAAAAGTTTCCATGGTCGACACCGAGAGAACAAAGTACATTCCAGTTGCATTGCTGTTAGCATTGAAGCAGGTTCAGCAATTCAGAGGGGAGGGCATTGTTCCTCACTGGCGCACCGAGACACCCTCCCTCTGCACAGCTGTGAGCTCCAGGAGCAGTTGGCCCTCATCCCTCTCTACCACGTCTATTTGATGGTCATTTTTGCTCTTTTGCATATCTGTACAAATGTCTCCCCCAAGAGCGACATAAGGTCCTGCAGCAGTGACCCAGGGCCCGGGGACCTGGTGATGCTGCCAGTGCCCCCAGCCAGCGTGGTTATGAATGGTGCGGGTTTTTTAATCAGCAGCATCTTGACTTGGCTGGGTGGTTTTTGGCAGGCTAGCCCTCCAGTCAGCTCGGTGCTGTGCTGGGTGCATCAGGAACCCGGCTCACTCTGCAGGTGTTTCATCCATAAACAAGCATCAGCCACAGGCTCCTCTTTCTTTTTACGGAAACCCTTTGGAATTTAACTTTCAGATACAAATACTTGGAGCAGTTGGCAGCCGAGGCACATGAGAAGGAACAGAGGAGCCGGAGTGCTAGCCGGGGGAGAGCTGACCTCTCCTTGGACCTGACCTCGCCAGCAGCCCCTGCTTCTCCTGCCTCTCTGAGCCACAGCCCTTCATCTCTCGATGCACAAGAGGCTCTCACAGTACCATCCTCCTCCTCGCCAGGATCCCCTCAGCATCCGCAAGGTGAGTGCAGAGAAGAGAGGGGAAAGCAGTGGATTGACATTAGACAGGCGTCTGTATGATACAATAATGATTCCTATGTGCAAACTAATGCTAAAGCCACAATGAAGGGTACATTTAGGGAATATTGTAGCTTGGGTGGCATGCTAAGGAATTTAGATGTCTTTAGAGACATTTGTACAAAGTTATTTATGCATGTTATCCTTTTATGACTATTAATAAAGGAGAATGTCGAGAATAGGACTTAACTTTGACATTCAATTCTAAATCTTAGGGCATCAATTTAGAACTGCATCGTGTAGATACGTGAAACTGCTCAATACAGTCATTTTTTTTAATGTTACTACCATAGGAATTGTCAGTGTGGTTTAAATTCTACTGATGGAGAATAAAGCTAATTGAAGCAAGGAAGGAAAATTGTTGACCTAGTAAAAAGAGAAGATAAATATTGAAGAAGAAAAATTTTTATCAAGGAAATATTACTGACACTGGTATTTGAGAGAGAGAGAGAGAGAGAGAGAGAGAGTGTGTGTGTGTGTGTGTGTGTGTGTGTTACATACACACACACTCTTCCGGGAGAAATTCTTTATCTGTAGAAAAACCACATTGTCAAGTTCAGCTGTGTATATCAGCTTGCTGCCTGATTGCTCTATGCAATGTGAGTTCGTTTTCTTTCAGACTAACACAGGGTATGATTCTTGAGCACAGGATATGGTTTAATCGAGTATTATGGCTTGCAGCCTGATATAAACTTAGCCAGTGGAGGAAAACAGAGACAGTAAACTTTTAACTCTAACATTGTTGACTAAATATGGTGTAAAGTTTAATTTAAACAAGGGGGGACTCAATGACCTCAGCAGAACTGGATGTAATGGAACGATAGTGTCTGTCCAATTCTTCTTTGGCTCTCTGAGCCCCAGGCTCATTCCGCAGGAACAGCAGGCTGGCTCCACTACAGCTTTCCATCCGTCCACTCACTCCTGTTCTCTGAGCCATGGAAGATTATGCCCAGCAGACGGCTCAGTCCTGGATGAGTAATTGTCAGGCTTAAAGAACTGAGACTCTCTCAGAATTGGGGAAATAGAGTCCTCTCGAAGACCTGTGTGCTTCCAGACCTTGCCTTATATCATTGCTGCATCCAAATCATTAGGATCTCTGCTGGCTTAGTGGAGAAGTGGTTGCACTGTCAACCTAAAGACAGGTGGTTTGAATCCACCATCTGCTCCAAGGAGGAAAAATGGGCAGTTTATAACCTCTGAAAACCCACTAGAGAGTCAGCAATGAGTTTGGTACCACTCAACATTCTTAGTTATCTAAGTCATGGTACTTCTAGACCCAAGTGAAAAAAATCTACCCCTGAAAATTGGAGGTTCAGAACCTAATCTTGGGACACTTAACTCTAAGAGGTATACTTCCAGCAGCTTATTAAATAATGGCCTGAACTGTGAAGTCCAGAATCGCTCCAAGCAGAGAGGGAATTGTCAGCATCTGAAATTATTGTTTTTCTTAATATTTTCATCTACTTGACGTTTACTTGTGGCAAACAGACAGTCCTTCAAGTACTAAATTGCAGTTGAACTTCAAGTTATTCTAGGCAACTAAAAAGACAGTATTTTAAACTTCAATAACAACACAAAAAAATAATTCTCTGTGTACATACAATATATTGTTGGAGAAATAGCAAAGTTATTTCCGCACTCTGTCCTGTAGATAAATAGCAAATATTTTTTCCTTCAGAAAGGGGATTCATAGAGACTGAGAGAATATTTAACTGACACCACTCAGTAACTGATAGCGGTAGCTGAAAAAGGGCGGGCTACTGGGCTTGATATACACAAACACAAATTAATAAAATAGCAAAGTTCTTTGCTCTTTACTGCAAAAAAATTAACTAGTAACTCTTTAAAGCTGAAAGAGCTGACAGTTATATGTTATTATGATCTCCTTGTCCCAGTAATCTTCTGCTGGAGGGTTGATTTTGACTACTAGCTACCCTCCATCAGGCCTCTGAGGCTATAAATCTCTGTGGGAGAAGACTGCTCCTCTACTGACTAGCTGGTGGGTTTGAACCATTGACCTTTCATTTAGTAATCCCACATGTAGTCCACTGTGAGAAGTGACTAAAGTAAAGCACTGGAAATTATGTTATTGTTTGAGTCTCTTCTGGCTGGTCGTGGTCCAGTGTGACAGAGGGGAACTGCCCCGTAAGATTTGCTTGGCTGTAATCATCACAGGAGTTGCCATACTGTGGTCACTTGTGGTTGCTGTGAGGCTGAACACTGTGACACTGATGTGTCAAATGTGTTAATGGTTGGTTACTCAGTGCAGATAGAGAGTGGGGTGGAGCTCCCCGATTAAAACAAGCTTGGAAGGAGGAATGGCACCCACTTCTGTAATAGCTTGCCCCTGGAAACCCTATGAACCTGGAGAGAGGGTGACAGACACCCAAGCGTTGAGGACTCTCCTTCATAGGGTCGCTGTGAGTTGACTGCAACTCGACGGCACTGAACAGCAACAATAACAACAATCAACACAGAAGCAGGTCCTTGGGTGGTTTTCCCACAGAGCCACTGGGAGGGTCCAACCACACTTCTGGTTAGCGGCCAAATGCTTCACCCTGTGAACCACCAGGGTTCATTTTGGAAATTCTCAATACAAACCCAGAAATGCTCTGAGAAAATGGTCTTGAAAGAATTTCCCAATCTTCTTCCTGATACGAACAGCTTTGCCATCCCGTTATAAAGTTAGAGAGGTTTTCCTCATCCTACCATGCTAGTTTTCTTTGAAACATTCTGCTAGCTTCTAACTAATAACCTAGTCCTTCTACCAGGTCCCATTTCAAATGTTCACTGTAAGTTTGTGATTTTCCCAACCAGTTATAATGTCCCAACATCTGGAGGAAGAATTTTAAAAAAATATATAATCACACATCCAGATGTCTGCTCTGCCCCAAATACCTGACATTATATAGTCCAAATGTGCCAGGGAGTAACTTACTTTTTCACTCTTTATCCTTATGGATTCATATAACAATAATATGCCTATTTTTTTTAATGCTTTGACTCCCTGCCCTCCTCCCCTCCGCCCCCCCCCCCAAAAAAAGCTCCTATTTAATCCCTGGCCATGCATCTGAGTAAAAAGGAAACAGGGTAAACGTTATTGCCTGTATTTTACTGAATTTCAGGGACACTGGAAAAATTGTTGAAAATGTTGCAGAGGCAGCATTGAGAGTAGAATTCAGCCTTCTCCTTCCCATTCCAGCCATTTGTCATGGAATCATAGCACCACACTGGCCGTGCCACTAGCTTGTTCTCTCCCCCAAATCTGCAGAATTTGCAGCTTATGACCAAGAATTCTATTCCTTAAAAAGGAACAAACTAATACCAGCTATTGAATTCCGTATACCTCAGAAGTAAAGGTCAGTTCATGTGTTCTTTTATTAAAATTCCTTACTCAGATTCTGGGAAGTTTTTTTTAAAGCACAAGACATGAAAACATTAGAAACTGCATTTCCTTTCTCTTGCAAAATGTATTTTGAAAGAAGGAAGGGCTGATGGTAAAATACCAACAACATTATATGTCATCTAGTCAGATCTTTCAGCCAAAAACCTTCTCAGCTAAAATCTGCTGTAACTTTTGTGTAAATGATGCCACTACCCCCACCATCAAGTCAGTGTGTGCTTGAATTCGTTTTCCATCTGGCCGTCTTGTGGCTCGCAACAGATGTCTGTCCCAGTGCTGCATGGTCTCAGCGGTGATGATCAGGGGAGTTTTCTTCTGTTTGAAACTCTTAGACCCAAGTGGGAAACAAGCATCCTGTATGTTTATGCAAAATAGTGCATGCATTTTACACTTTTTTGCAAACCAGGCAACACCCTCACATGCTTCTTTCTTGTGTGATTTATAAGGTTGCAGGTGTGCATTATATGTGGGAGAAAATTATTTGTGCAAAAACCTATAATATCTGTGTGTTCTCATTTGCACTACGCTCTCATTAGTAGAGATAATCAGTCTAGGGTTTAAGTAACATAGATGGGCCTCTCTTCACCCATTACATTGGACTTCTTTCTCTACCTCCTGGTGATGTTCATCAGAATCCAATCTAAGAAGCCTGTTCCTGTTATTTAAAAAAAAAACACAAAATACAAATCCAAACAACAATTCAGTATAAAAGAAAAATTTTATTTAACCTCCCAAATATCATATTTTAGTCTTCCTGGGCTTGTTTTCATTTTCTTTAGCCTCTCTTTGAATGTGATTATGAGTAATTGATGGTCTGTTCCACAGTAATTACCTGACCTCATTTTGATTGTTGTTACTGAACTTCTCCACTGATTTCTTCCACAGATGTAGTCAGTCTGATTCCTATGCAATCCATCTGGTAAGATCCATGTGTAAAGGCATTGTTTCTGTGTTTTTAAAAAAGGTATTTGTAGTGAATAAATCATTGAATGTACAAAAAAAACACACCCAGATGAATCTAGAAACAAATAAGTTATTCTCACTAATTGAGAGGAAATATACAGTGCTTTTATATGCATAGCTATATGTAGATCATGTCCTTCAGTAACTGCAAATCTAAACGGGAACTGTGGCAGCATAGCCCATAGGAAACTGAGCTGCTAACGCAAACGCCATGTCTGTCTGGCAGTTTGAATCCACCAGTGGCTTTGCAGGAGGAAGATGGGCTTTGTCAGTGTGCAATTTATAGCCTCTAAACCCCCACTAAAGAGTCAGCTATGAGTCAGTTTCAAATTGATAAAAATGTTTTTGCTGTTATGCACCGTCAAGTCACCTGTGACTCATAGCGACCCCATGTACAGCAGCTTTGAGCCCTGCTCTGTCCTGAGCCAACCTTATTGCCTCTGACACACCTACCCCCGTTACCCCAGTCACTGTGTCAATTCATCTCATCAAGGGTCTTCCTCTCTTGCACTATTGCACTATCCCTCCACCCTCCCAAACATGATGTCCCTCTCCAAGGACTAGTCCCTCCTTTCAAC